ACGAAATAGAGAAACTATACTCAATTAATAAGTTTAACAAATATCGAATAACATGAATGACAGTAATTTCTGACAAAAGGAAAGGTGATATAATCAGTTTGCCTACATAAACAGAACGGTCGAAAATTGTCATCTCTCTAATTAACAAACAACCGTGCAGGAACACGCATTCGTGCGGTAAGGAACAACAGCGCAATCGCGCCCAAGAAGCAGTCTATTTGAAGAAGACCCAAACGGCCTGGGTTACACGCACGTAAGCGCTACCACTCACCCCCTTCCGCCTTCTTTTTCTTCCACTATGCCTTCTCGAGGTAACCCAACTTTTAATCGTGCAGTAGTGGAGAATACGCTGTGATGCAAACACGCCGCACGTTTGTGGACAGACATTCTGACACGCAGTATATCGATTGGCACGCGCGTCGCGCGAATGTGGTAGCACAGACGCACCGCACGCTCACAAACACGGAAAAAACTACAAGTGTATAGGGGACAGTATGCGCGCTCTGTTTTTGCACGCATCTGGCAGCAGTAGCAGCGCGTGATAATGTAATGTGTACACGGGGCACAGCACAGTGTATTATAAAACCGAGACAGGTGTTAGAACATGTGGTAGGTAGGCTGGCCTATTACGATTGTGAAAGCGGCGGTGACGATCAGTCACGTGATCGTAGACCGGCCATCAGGGATGTAGCGGAGCATGCATAGCTTGATTTTTAGCCACTTCTGTGTATGTGAGGTCAAAAACAAAAATAAATGGGCCTCATTTAAATGGGGGGGGGGGAGCGACCAACGAATGCGTGATGAATGGCACTCTTTCCAGACCTTCTCTGAATGTGAAAGACCCAGTTTTAACCCAAGAATTAAATGTCGGATAGTGAATACCAAAACAGACCCGACTTTTGTGCGAGAATGCTGAAAAGGCCAAATAACGACAAGGCTCTCAGGCGGGAGAAAGAACAGCACAATAACAATATCGAAGATCAAACCAGAGGGGGTTTCTGAGCATTTGGCGAATAGTCATAGCAGCCCAGCACACTTCAGTATTTCAAGCCGAGTGATAACGAAACAATGTTAGAAAGCAAGGTTTCGATATGGCATCATCGATGGAGATTAAGTAGAAATAGGGCTTCCAAGTAGCAGCCAAATGAAGGGAAGGAAGTGAACTACAGTACACGTATTCAGAGTAACAGGAATTTCGAAGACTTACCTGGAATTTCGGTATTGGTTGCTGAAAAAATGACACGATTTATATTTGACAAACCTGAATACTAAGACTCCCAGCACTTCACAGAAATAGACTAGAACACCTTAAAATAATGGAACATCTAATTGAGTAACAAGGAATTGTAGTAAAGTGAGGTAATCCAAGATGGGAGAACAGGAAATCAGGTCAGCTGGTTAAATAATGAATAACCACGGCCTCGAAGGTGGAAGTCGAATAATGAAGATTAGGGCACTGCATCACAAGCTTTTGAGTCTATGAATAAGTCAATTCTCACAAATTCAAATTAAGAAAAGCCCGAGATGGGCTGCCTTCACCCCTCAATTGTTACAGAATCCCTCTCCAGTTTCAGGCCTTATAAGTTTGATTGGCTTTATTACGAGTGTTTCATGGACAAAATAGCAAGTAAAGTAGCTGACGCAAGCAACGATAAAATATACTAGCAAAAAGGTTTCGGAGACAAACGAGAGCACAGCCAATTAGAAATCGAAAAAACAGCACCCACCGTAAATCTTCGGAAATAGATGAGAATGGACTCATTAAGATATCAAAATCTCGAAAGGCATTTCCTGCCAAAGTATGTTTTCACGGGATCGCCTTAGATTCCACCGATTTCTTTTCAAAGCGACGGTACTGCCAAGCTAAGAAAGGTGGAAATCTCACATCAAATAAGATACATACAGAATGTTACCCACACTCAACCACATCAGCAAAACGCACTCTTCTGATGACAGACACTTCAACGGAAAGGAAAAATAACAAAATAAATCATGGCACAAAAAGAGATGCAGTATCCAGTTGCTACTGAAAAATCGGGTACAGACTAAGATAGCAGCCAGAGAACAACGTTAAATATTCTCAACCACATGGTCCCATATTCTAATAAATAGAGGGGCAAAATCCTCGATTTCTCTTGCCTATGTCCATCATTTTATGTTTTACGCGTCTACCTTGGATGCTTTTATCGCTCCATATCGCCTTTTCTATAAGATAACCCTCAATAAAGACCTACTTACATCATGATTCCTACGAAAGACTCTAAGAGTAGGTAGATTTGGCTCACTGATCATTTAGATAAAGTTGAGAAGTGAAAGAGTTAAATGACTGACTATTTCCAAAAAGTCCATATCCAAGTGTGGACGCAGTTCATTTGAATATCCAGGTGGAAAAACAATGAGTAAAATAACCCCCCAAGTCTATTTAGAAGAGCCTTACAACACTTATATTTAATAGAGGGATAGCATTATAGAGTCGCGCCATTGTGAAAATACTTTTAGTAGATAGACTTAAGTAGTGCATCGTAAATGAGCACATTAACCACTGCGATACAGACAGACATCCGCAGATGCCCGTCATTTCACTCCCGAGCAAATTAGTAAGCAACTGGTGGCACAATTTTATGGGATTCACGTGAGAGATAGTATAGAAGAAGAATATCAGCGACTTGCATAGAAAGCGCGTATATACGGTAGCTATGAAATGAAAACACAGACGATAATTTTGCCACGAGATTCAGAGGAGATAAAAGATGTGGTCACAAATAATAGGCAATGCGAATTTAGATTTACTTTTAATATTTGCATACAATGACGGAAATAAGAGCATATCTTAGTTCCCCTGAGCACATTTCAAACTTTGGTCTAGGATCTACTATTTAAAACAAACATTGATGATCTACCCGCAAGATGCAAATGAATAGAAGAGGAATGACCAAACACAAAATTGAATCAACAGATTCTAAGTATCGAAAAGCTTACTACTAAAATCGGAAGTTAAGTTGTTAAATATGAACATGCAGACGTAACTTTCAATGAAGGTATAAAGGTTGGCGGAATTCAAAAAAAGAAATTGAAGTAGGTCTTTACCCCCCCCCTGTTAATCCCCTTATCCTCTTTTAACTCCCTCCTCTGACTCACATGAACTCCAATAATTAAAACCTGCGAATATTTTCTTTGCAGAATCATAGGAACTAATATTACTTATCTCTTCCAAATAGGTTGGAACAAGTGAGTCCAACTAGTGCGCGAGTTGTTTTTTAAATAAGACCAACGATAATGGTATCACTTAAAATTTAATTAAACAAAAAATGACTTGAAACATCAGTAATAAATTAGGGTTTGGGATCAATCTCTAGGCCTCCCAGCTGTGGTTAGGATAGTGATGATAATGAGAGATAGGATTAGTCAGACCGTTTTCACCACCGGCACACAAACACGTGTGTGATGGCAAGCCAGCCAGTCTGTGGACCAAACGCCAGCCTTCAAAGCCCTAAGTGCGGCCGTGCGACTTCTCGATTCAAGGACAGGAGACAACTTCTCCCACAGGTGAAGGAGAAACGGTGACTCATACCCGCCCTCACTGTCCCATCACACACACACACCCCACACCACACAATGACGGCTCGCCGCCTCAATTCCTTTGTGTCCCACTACCAAGTATGTGCTTTTCACCCCACGTGTCCAAAAAGGCTGCAGAGGCGGATGGAGAACAAGAAGAGAACACGGGTAACAATAAATTCAACAGAAATGAAAGGAAGAGAGTATTGCTGTTTTAGAGAAAGGAAGACTAGTGCAAACATCTTCTCATTAATAATTAATGAGACTCGAGCTTCCAATACATTACACCTGTGGATCTACCCTCTTTCTATTTACGGCGATAAGCCACAATTAGATATGCGCAAAAAATGGGATAAGATGGGATATAAGAGCGGGGGTATATATGTATAGGTATGGTTACTGACCTGACGCCAAGAGGTAGATGTTATAGGCTTCAATTGTACAAATGTTTGCTCATAAACCTGGTTCTAAAATTACAAAATATTTCAATTCTACAATATATAACTCCACTTTCCACCTCAACTAAAGCATAGCATTCGTTAATAAAAAGCAGTTCAAGGTAGCTTAACCGGAGGAGGAATCCACATACAACATAAATGACCCAAATTAATGACTTTAAGGTCAAAAAGATTTACAGAGGGCGTCTTAACTTAGGAAATGAAAAATAACACTTAATTTAGTGACCCATTAATAATCCGATACATGTTGCAGCTATAGGAAATTACAATTCCCTCTATAAAATGGAAAAAAAGAAGAGAGTATTCCTGAGAAATCTTTTATCGAAAAATTGGGATATAAATTTAACCGGTTAAAATCAAAATCATTTAGTTGTTAACAGCTTAAATTTTTTTACTAGGAGTGATTACTGAAAAAAATCCAAAATTAAATTGACATACTGTATCTGTTGACTTATAAATACATGAGCATAAGAAAACCGCTTTGGCAGAAAAATTCATGGGAACTTGGTAAAAGTAAACCAAGAAGAATATAGGAAAAAATCTTCGTGAAACAAGTGTCAAAATGAATAAGCATATTCAAGTCAAATAGCAGAACAAAGAAAACTAGTGTTAAAAGCACGAGAAGAGATTCGCAGCTATTGATTAATTCAAAACGAAAGAACGGTTAGTGAAAACCTAGAGTAAACTAAACCACTAGTAAGGTTCCATTTTATCTACAAGAAAATTCAAAAGCGAAATTTTAAGTTATCTATGTTTAACATGAGTAAAGGAAAGGCACCATGAAACCAATTTCATCCAAATCGAAAGTTACCAACCTCCCACTTAAGCAGAATAAACAGAGGGGTTCAAAACGAAAACCACTGTATGCGCACCGGTTGACAATGCCATCATGATAGCATGGCAGATGAGCACGTAAATAAGAGCACCGCAGGCGCACTCCAGCAAAGATAAAATTTTCACATTTTGTTCAAGATATTCAACAATTCAAAAGAAGAAAACAGAACATACGGGGAATTGAACCTGTCCACCACCAGTTCCACAAAGACCTCCAGCTGAGGACATATACTGCGGTGGAGGAGGGGGCCCTTGACAATTCCCCATGACATTGTGCTGTTGTGGCGGCTGTTGTTGCTGCTGCTGCATCATTTGACCCCCCGACGCCGAAGAGGATGGAATCTGCTGTTGACCGCTGTTTCCAGGCTGCTGGCCCATCATTTCGGGCGGAATTTGGGGTTGGCCGAAGCCTCCCCCGGTTCCACCCCCATTATTTCCTCCATTTCCCCCATAATCCATTAGCATTGTCTGACCACCATTTCCCATCATATCTACTCCACTATGCATGGGGGACATCTTAACATCCCCACCTCCACCCGGATAGGAGTTTTGAGGCCCAGGAGGGGCTAGACCATACTCAGGATGTGGCGGTGGCATCATTGGGCCGTTATTTCTCCCACCACCACCGCTATTATTAGCTCCACCACCGTTCATCATTACAGCTCCATCAAAATCGTTCCGATTTGTAAACATGGGCTGCTGTTGTTGAGATGCCTGCTGCTGCTGCTGCTGATCAGTGATGTTTGGCGTCTGTTGAGGAGGAGTCTGTTGAGGAGCGTAATGAGGAGGTGGAGGTTGGGAGGAATCGGGGTTAGGGTTACCGCCATTATTCGGACTAGCAACATGAGGAGTGCCAGGATGACCAGGGCTCGGAGCTACACCGCCACTACCTCCTGAGGAAGTCTGGGAGAGATTAGGAGGACCTTGTTGTTGGGGCATAGGAGGACCTTGAGGGCCCATCCACCGGGCTCTTGGGGGCATGTGAGGATGACCGGGCATCATGCCACCCACTGGAGGGCCGTATGGTGGTTGGTGAAACCGCATAGAGGGGTGCATTGGGGGACCAGGAGGTTGACCACCTGGCATCATTGGTGGAAGGGTTGGACGCTGACGTATAGCAGCACCGCCTAGGCTGTCGGGGGGCATACTTGTCACTGGACCTTGTAGACCAGGATGGGGCCCTGGTTGAGAAACTCTATGCATAAACGCTGGGGCATTGGGAGGCATTGGACGTCCAGGCATGCAATGTTCCTGAGAAGCAAAAACAAAGAACACACATATATGAGATATAGTGAGTTAAATGCAGAGTGTAATTACAGACAAGAAACCTACGTGTGGGAGACCATTTGGATAACCAGAATTTACAAAACCCTAAGAGGATAAACGATAAAGAAATATTGACATACATAATCATAAAAAGCTTTAGCTTCGGTCGTATGCTCGTGGGTATCCCGTCTTTCGGGAGCAGCGCTGTACAAATCCCAAAAGACACTAAAATAATAAGTAAAATATCACATCGATGTACCTCCACCAAGAATGTAGAAAGCCAGGAGGTTCTCCTACACTGATTGATTTATCCCATCGGATCTAAGAGGGCATTACTTTGAATATTTATAATTTACCTCCTGAAGAAAAGAATTGGCCGTTTTTTGTGCACCGATATGTACTAAATATTCATGAACATACATGGCAAGCCTAGGGAAAATAAAGGAGAAATATAACTTACTTCTCCTTCGATTGAGCTTCCGAAGGAACACCGATCATTTTATTCTTTCCATACATTTTGTTAATAAAATAACATTACTGAACCGGAGAGAATTCCGTAATCACCGGCATAAGTGTGAAAGTTAATTGGCTAAATTTGAATTATTAAAACACCACTTTAATGACTTCAATAAAGTTAAAAATCTTGATTTAACAAAATAAATATAGCTTTAATATATTAAAATATTTTTTTGATATATGGCCGATTCGAGGAGATAAACATATTTAACTGCGTTGTTGATAAAGTATTTAGAATTTCGCATTTCAAAATGTAATTTGCATCTAGTAAAAATAGTAAATTTACTTTGCATTTACTTTAGTTCCTTTTGTTATTTTATATGAATTTGCACTACATTGTTTGAAAAATTAATTCTGAGCTACAATTTTATCATTCGTTTGCCTACATATCATTGCAACTACTATCTAGTGTTTAAATGCAATGCTTTTAAAATAGAGTTAGCCAGAGAGTTGAGTTGAATTTCCTTGCACGTAAGTACTAATTCCACCAAAAATAAATTACCTCTGTTCACAGCCCTCACGAATCCCACCCCCTTGCTATACTTTGGCAAAAATATCTAGAGAACATTCGTCCTTTGTGACTAAGATAAATGCAAATATATTCAAATGGAACTAATTTTTTTAATAATGGAATTTATAAGCTAATCATTGGCTTATGTGAATAATATCCGTTACTGGCTAGAATTTCTAAGCTTAGTTCGGCATGCATTTCTCATTTTGGTGATGAAAATGGTATCGTTTTTTGCGATCCGCAGGTGCCAGGATACACAATATTTGCATGCTATTCAATTTAAAATTGCATTTGTTAATTTTAAATTACTTGATTTTAATCAATATGTATTTCAAATTTAAATATAAAATATTTAATGTATAGATAGTAATTCTAGGGAAAAATATTGTTAATTAGCAAACGTACTTTTAATCACTTCAATTCGATAATCATATACCAATCAACTAAAAGCTTCTCCAAGGCTGTCGATTTGGTCAATATTTAATTGACTGTCATGTGGATTTTTCATCTTAATTAATTTGGTCATTAAGTAAGTTTGCCAATAACTCTAATATACGGCAATTTCCCCTACTGGTTATTCCTATTTTTATTTAGACATAATGAAAAAATATGTGATATACTTTTGGGCGTTTTTGGTTGTTTCACTAATTTTCCCCATTCTTCTTAAGGAATATGTTATTTTTGTTTGGCACCGAATTTTATTCATGACATTTTTAATCCTATCGCAATACCTTGTCGCCTATACTTTCGCTTGATTACATCCAAACTCTGTGTAAGGCTGTTCAATCAAATATTTTGCTTGTTTTCACTTTTCCAACTTATTTAGGCGTGTTTTCTGTATTTTTTACTATATTTGATGACATCATTTTTAAGATATGGAGGACCTCCTTAACAAACTTCATCGTCTCCTTGATGATCATTCACTTTCTCCGGAAACAAGAAAACTCACTTATGGCACTTCTGGTTATCGTTGTCGTGCTGATCTATTAGTTGGCGTAGCGGCTAGAATCGGAGCATATGCCTGTCTCCATTCTATCCTTAATGCAAGCTTTAACTTAATTACATTTAATCGTCGTATTATTTAGGGTGGAAAGGCAGTTGGGATCATGATCACGGCATCTCACAATCCTCCCCAAGATAACGGGTTGAAACTAATCAATACGGATGGAGGAATGTTCCCTTCTGATTTTGAGAATAGTATTATTGAGTTTGTTCAACTCCAAGGCAACCAACTAGAGTCTTTCCTCCTAACATACTTTTCAAAATCTACCTATAGTGAGTTTTTTCTTTTATGCCCGATCTTGGTAATATTAATTTATTCTTGTAGATGCAAGTATCGTACCTCAAGTGTACATTGGCTGGGATTCGCGAGATAGCTCTGTCAGTTTGTCTCAAGAAGTTACGAAGGCAATAACTGCTTTGGGAGGAAAGTACATTGATTTCGGACTCGTGACAACTCCACAGTTGCACTTCTTGGTTCATATTCAGGTAACTCATTTTTTTATGATATTTTTCTCTATAGCTATAGCTTGTGCAGCTTGAAAAGAATATTCGACTTTTATTGTTTAAGTCTTTTAATTTCTAGATTTTTAATACAATTTTGAAAGCTCAAAATTATTTATTTCTTATGCATTTTTCCAAAAGTTAAAATGCGAACAAAAACCCATAGCTTTTAACTGAACTTGTAAAAGCAACGTACAAACACATAAAATTATTGGGTATCTTCTAGTGAATTTGAGATATTGCTCGTGCTTTTATCGTACATTGTACGAATTATTTCTATTTCGTCTGATATTTTTATCAGTTTAATTTTGTTATTGATTTAACAATGAAATACCTTATCTTATCACAAAGCTGCAATTAAAACCATTTCTTCTACGCATTATTATTGTTACCCGCAGTAAAGTGACCAGTCATGATTTTACAGCTTCAATCGCAAATATGTTGAGGTCATTGCTTGGACATCATTTAACCTTTTCATTGGGGCTATTCAATATTTAAATTGCAGTTCATGCCCCAAGATTTAAATTTCATCGTTTACCAAATGGTTTATTAAACTGAAGGCTTTACTTTTACTTATGCCTATGATACCGTAATAATATCGAGCACCTCGCATGAATTTAATTTAGCAGTGCTTAGGTAGAGTGTTGTATATCAACTTGGGCTTTGGGGAGAACAGAATAATCAGCTATAAACTTAACCCCTGGTTAGTAAATATGAAAACGCAATTGTGATCGTAAACTATCGACTCTTCGCTGATTGTATATATATATCCACCGTGGTCGTTAAATAGTAACATCTTCCACGTGTAAGCAAAAGATAAAGTAAATAGAAAACGGTGGGTATTTCACTACGTTTTCTCTATGTTTGCACGACCTCCAACTACGTTTAATACTATTATTTGAACCCGAGAGGCTCCGTTTCTCGCACCTAGTTACACGAATACTGCCACCCAAACACCATGACGCATAAACAGTCACTAAAGTAAATATTTATGTAAGCGTTCTCTACTTCATTTTTGTTATTTCAAATTCTGGCCATTTTAGTCCATCTATTACTCGCTTATTTCTTCTCCATTGGTAAAGCGGCCACATTAGTTCAGTAGGTTTATAGCTTGTTATATTTGGAGGAATGTCTATCACGGGGTGGTCATAGTGTAAACCCAAATTTAAAATAATAGAACTATTCAATTATTACTTGCTATACATTCGTTAAAGGGCAAATGAGATTATAGAGCCTTGTTTAAAAAACGAATTCTTCTTACTCATTCGTCTGAATTCTCCTAAATTCCATAAAATTTTACGCTAGAGCTAGTCTTTATCCATGGCAGCTTTTAACTTGATCGTAAAAAATGTACTTTTCCAATAGTTCGCTATTTTCATTGCACTCAAACAACTTTTTTTCCCCAACTTCATAGTGTGACGAAAATTTTGCCTACTATTGAACATCTAGCCGTCCGGAGAATTTGATGGAGGTTCATTTGTCTTAAACATGGCTATAACTTCCTCACATTTAATGGATTTTCAAATATTTAAAGTATTTTCGTATTCTTTACTTAAACCCTTAAGATCTTTGGTGTGCTAAAAGCACTTCAAATTGCATTTAGTATTCCTTCTTGCAGAGTTCATGCAAATGAACAGACAAACAGACCGAATTAACTGACTATTAAGTCCTGGACATCAGATGCCACAATTTCATCCATGTATTTGGGTATCGGTTTTGCAAATATGAGCAATCCAAACTCGTCACACGAAGCCAGAATCTCGTTCTATTGGCTTCATTACCAACCATTTCTTGTCAATCACTTTAATAATAAAATTTGAAATAGATTTTAGACTTTTCTGCTTAAATAATTACTTTACCAATGATTAAGATTTGTGAAAGTTTGTTCCTGCGTTGCCATGAGCAATGACAAAAAAGTTGCCCTCAAAGAAATGAATCGGACTGTGAGGTACATGTCTCCGTTTATAAACTCTTTTAAAATCTTAATATTAAATTCATTTGAGCTCATTTGAAGTAAATTAATGGGGGACCAATTTACCTATTGTTATAAGGGATCAGCTGATCACAAAGGTATATATATATATATATCTAGCTAAAATTGTGACCTAGTCTGTATTCTTTTCCACAGAGTAAAAATCATCCGCCCAATAGTTTGGAAGATTACGTAAACGTTTTCCTCAGACGTTTCGTGAAAGCTTTCAATACATTAAAAGGCGGAGAAATCCATCTCAATGTGGACTGTGCTCACGGAGTTGGTGCATTGATCCTGACCTCCCTATCCACTCGTCTCTATCTGGCCTCAAAGGAAGCTTCCTACTCACCAAATAGCCCTCGTCTATGTCTTCGCACTTTCAATACTATGCTCAATAAAAAAGATCTGCTTAATAAGGACTGTGGTGCTGATTTCATAAAGGTGTGACCTAGTTCTTGATGTGCGACCGATTGGATTTCTGTAGATTGGCTTTACAATTTATTGATATTTTCCTAGCTCTACAGTAAATTGCCGAAATTAACGCCATTACCTGACGAAAAGGATCTATTCACCTCTTCAACTCGATGGGCTACAGTCGATGGTGATGCAGATCGTCTCCTGTATTTCTTCTGTTCTGAAAACAGCTCATCTGTCAATATTTTGGACGGAGATCATATTGCAGCGCTCTTTACTACCTTTATAGCTGATCAGCTTGCTGAACACCAATGCCTCCAGCGTCGTGGATCCGAACGCATTGGAGCATCAAGACTTCGTTTGGGAGTTGTCCAAACTGCGTATGCTAATGCTGCGTCGACAAGATTTTTAAAGCAGTATCTAGCGGGTAGGTTTGCGAAAGATCCTATCACATATGTAAGACAGGTACCATAAATGATATAATAGAGGGAGTAGTTAAGAGAAAGGATCGGAGGAGGTAGTTCATGGGACTCTGGATAACTAATTCAGTTCTTCTATCGTGAAAAGTCGCCTATAACTCTTCTGCAGAAGAAGTTTGGGCTAAAGTGCAAAGGAGCCAGACTCATCTTGTTTGTTGAAATAATAAAATGTTCAATTTTAGACGTCCTCAATGATCCAAATCCAGATGAAAGCGTGGTTTGTACTCTGACGGGAGTTAAGCATCTCCACAAAGCTGCCAAGGAATTTGATTTTGGAGTATACTTTGAGGCGAATGGTCATGGAACTGTAGTGCTATCGGAGCGAGCTCAACATTACGTTGCAAGTTTACCGGATAACGACCCACTTCCTCTGTTCATGTCGTTGGTTAACACCGCGGTCGGAGATGCGGTGACTGACATTCTTCTTGTGGAATATATTCTGGCAGTTAAGGGACATTCTCTGCAACAATGGTTCGATTACTATCATGATCTACCATCAAAACAACTGAAAGTTGTTGTCAAAGACCGACATGTGATTGTCAATACCGATGCGGATAGGAAGGTCACTCACCCACTGGGATTACAGGTGCACTTTTGACTAGATATAATTTGAAGTGTTCGATATCATCTTTCTTCTTTTTCAATGATCTATTGGAGAGTTAAAGAGCTAAGGTCTTGAATGATTTATGTTCATTGTTTTAAGCGGGAAGTAGTAATCTAAATAAGCATTCCTTTTAAAGGTGGAGTAGATTGAAATTGCGTAAAAGTGAGCAAGTGAATGCAAGGGTGCACAGCCAAGAGAAAGCAATGGTCTTGCCACAATGGCGACTTTCGTCTAATGAAACTCGTGTGGATTGTAGTTAATTGCGACTGGAATTCAAGATTTCTTGGGTTCACTCTGACAAGAGCTTTCGTATTAGGTGGCGAGGTGTTACCTACTTCCAATTCCTCAGTAGCAACATCCTTAGTGGGTTGAAATATTTTCCATACAATCCGTAAATCACGTCATTTAGACACCAGCAAATTTATAACTTCCAGGAAAGTGTATTTTTTATTAAACTCATTGGTAAATGTATTATTTGCCCCTATTATTGCTGTACTCCATTCTTCACAAATGACACGGATTTTAACTACATGGAAGTAACTGACTAATGATAGTGGGGGTCTAAAGGAATTAGGTGATGAATTCATGACCATACGAGTCTAATTTAATTTGAATTTCGAAGCATCGAAATGTCAATATTCACATTAGGCACATGGCTCAATTTATGTTGGCCTAATGCTCAAAATTCATCACTTGAGTCCGAAGTTTATGGGGGGGGGGAGATTGTACCTGTGACACTCAGAGCTTATTGACTGGTTGATTTGCTTACGTGGTTGGTCATGCCACCATTTACTATTTTTTTAATCGTTAGGCATCAGTATGATTGATGCCTGTCATTCTTACCTAGCCAGAGATCACCGTGATCTAAACATGGAAATGTCGCTTACTTGTAATATGAGATGATACTTAAACTCCCATTTCTATAAAAACTGCGACGACTGTGCTCGTCTGTTAAGTCAGGGTTCACGAATTCGATAGCTGGCGATGCACATTCACTGAACTGGAAAGGCAACTGATTTAACAGGAGAGCATGATCAACTAGTCAGGAATCGTGATGTTACCTCATGTAATTCGAACTTTGGATTGCTATCATTAATTATTTACCATTGTGTAATAAGCTTATTTTCAAAAATATTGGACTGTCTCAGTATTTAGGTGCTTCCTCATTTTAAGAATTGATAAAAGTGGTTACTTTGCCTTTGCTAGTGCTACCAAATGTAGTGTTATCGTGAATTTTATTATGTCAAATGTTTTTGTGCTTTCTAACAGGAGGATATTGACTCATTGGTCAAAGAGGTTGATGCTGTATCCACAAAGGCGGGCCAACCTGCTGGCTTGTCACGAGCGTTCGTTCGGCCCTCAGGAACAGAAGATATGGTTCGAGTCTACGCTGAGGCCGCTACCGTCCCACTTGTTGATTGGTTAGCTACTAGTGTTGCCCGACTGGTCCACGAGAAGGCCGGAGGAGTTGGTGTGGAACCAACTAATCCCGGTCCTATTCCCTACTGATTCTTCTAGCCTTTGGTAGATGTGATCTTTCATTATGTCACTTTATTATTTAATGTTTCTTAGCAAATCACCGCGGTTGTGGTTACGAGTGAATCTAAACGTTTAATTATAAAAGTATATTCGCTTGCAAAATTTCTTGTGCTGATGGTTCTAAGTGTTGGAATCTATTGGTTTACTTTTTATTGCATTTAACATTGCTACAACTGAAACGATTAATGTTTTACTAGTAGAGAAAATTAATAAATGTCGGAATCATCACCTGGCTTTCTTGAGCACGAGTCTTAATTGCTAGATGCATGTGTGTGTGTATTTCAAGATGGAAGGGTCTGTGTGGATAAACGCCTTTGTTGGCTTTGTAAACGTGTGAGATGGGAAAGCACCGATGTACTGACTAAAAATCTATTGTTCACAGGATGTGCGATAGACTTACCTCCACTTGGTACACCCTAGGCAAACGTATACTCATACGGCAAAAAAGTCTATTAACTGGCAGTTGACTTCTCACTTCAAACTACCATCACCCCACTTTATGTCATATTCGACTACTTCCATTGTACTCACCTCACCTTTTTTCTACCTTTGTGTATGTCTCTTTTGCATCTTTGAAACACTCTTCTATTCTTCCCCCCCCCTCTCGCATTTTTTCACTTTGATATTCCTTCCCCTCTGTGAAGCCTGAAGTCAACTAATGATAACCATCAAAACGCCTGCCATTTGATATAAATATTCCTATCCACTGAATTGTCGTAATAGGACGTTTGGGGCATAAAGCATGAATGCAGAAGTGCACAGAGTCGTGTCGTGAATGGGAAATGTAGTTCCGATTTCACGTTACTTACAGAAAAACTGATGTAATCAACATAGCGATGAAAAAGCCCA